GTTGATACAAAATATTTTAGTTGAAATATTATTTTTGTTATGTTTTAATTGTTTGAAACATCATTTTGACTATGTTTAAATAATACTTTTATATTGAAAATTGATAAGTTTGTCTTATTTTTTTAATAATATGAGTATGACATTATAATATTATGATAATACTTTAGCAGGAATATCTACTACACCAATAATAATAATTAGCAAATTACTTGCAAATAAAATTGTGAGAGATTAACTACGGATTAGCAAAAGAATAATTTTAATATATAGTGACAAATAATTGTGAGGGATTAGCTACCAAATAGCGAGAGAAATATTGCGAAGGATTAGTTACGGATTAGCAAGGAAACAATTGTGAGGAATTAACTCCAGATCAGCTAGAGATAAATTGTCAGGGATTAGCTACGGATTAACGATAGAAAAATATTGTGAAGGATTAGCTACAGATTAGCTATAGAAAAATTGCGAGGGATTAGTTACGAATTAGAGAAATTGAAATTGTTAGGGATTAGCTACGGATTAACGAGAGAAAAATTGCAAGGGATTAGCAACGAATTAGGAAGAGAAAAATTGTGAGGGATTAGCTATGAAGCTACAAGTTAACTAGAAATTTAGGAGATCAATTAGCTAAAGAAAGAAAAAAGTTCATCACTTAAATTAGTAAGGGACTTAGCGACAGATTAGTGACAAAAGTTGCTACAAATTTGAGAGAGAATACATCTCTATCTAATTAGCTACTTGGATTTAGCGACAAAATATTTCATAGTTATTCTATAGCTAATTTGTAGCAAAATGTATTAGCGAAAAATTAGCTATAAAATAGCTACAAAATGTGTCATAACTAATATGGAAAATTGTTGTAATGGTTGTCATTACTACATCAGTACCTTAACCCACAACAGGAAGAAGTTTGATGATCGACCTAATCCAAGTAAACAAAATACAAAAAAGGTACATTTTTTATAATCTTAAAACTTATAATATTGAAATATCCCATTATGTAATTTTTTATGAAAATCATTTTCCTCAAACCAATGATATCACCATTTCTTCACAACCATCTTTTCCTACATTTATTGATACCACTAACATATCGGACAATCATAATAATCGAGCCAATGATCCTTTTGAACTTGTTCTCGAGACTAACAACTTGGTTAATAACCAATATGAAAATCAGCATTCCACTCATTCAAGTCATTGATGATTCGGTTAACAATTATTATGAGAATCAACATTCCACACATCCTAGCCACTTGAAGACCAATCCATGAATCACCTTTCTCCTCGACAAACTACTTAGTCAAGACAACGTCCAAGCTATTTACAAGATTGTCACACATCTCTCATTGCATACCCTATCTAATCCTTCATATCTACTACAAAAGTATGTTTTTACTTATAAACGGGTCATCCTTAGCATTAACACTCACATCAAACCAAGAAACTATGAAGAAGAATCAAAAGGCTCAAACTAGATCGAAGATATGAATAAAGAAATCAATGTCCTTGAACAAAACAATATCTGGACCATCATGGATCTACCTGCAAATAATGTTTTCATTGGTTGCAAATGAATATATAAAATAAAGAACAAAAGTATATGGATTAATTGACAGATATAAAGCTCACCTTATTGCTAAAAGATACTCCCAATTGGAAGGACTTGATTTCACTAATACTTTTACTCCTACTGCAAAACTTACCATTCTTCATTTTTTATTATCCTTGGCCATGATCAATATTGACATCTAAAGCAACTTGATGTCAATAATGTTTTTCTTCATGGAGATCTTCATGAAAAGGTATATATGCAAATCCCCCTGGATTGAACAATGGAAAACCTAACAAGGTTTGTTGTTGTCACAAATCCTTTTATGGTCTTAAATAACCCCGTCGATAATGGTATGAAAAACTATCTCATTTTCTCAAGATTCACAATTTTGATCAAGCTTCTGTCGATCACTCATTATTTTTAAAATTTAACTCTATTAGCACTACAACTTTACTTGTCTATGTTGATGATGTAATCCTAATCGAAAATAGCATAGATGAAATAAATAACAACACCAACTTGCTTGATTATTCTTTTAAAATAAAGAATATAGGAAATCTTACATACTTTCTTGATCTTGAGGTCGCAAAAAATAATACTGACATACATCTTTGTCAAAGAAAATATGCTCTTGACTTGTTACGCAATGTTGGTATGCTCGGTTCTGCACCAATCTATACTCCCCGGAATTTTTCAACTTGGATATCCTCCTATACTAGTGAATCTCTCATTGATCTGACTCCTTACTATAGACTCATTGGACGTCTCATATACCTCCCCAATAACATACCTGACATCACTCATGCTATTCACCACCTAAGTCAATTTGTTGTTGTCCAAACTACTGCTCATCATCAAGCCTCTCTCAAAATCCTACATTATCTCAAACAGATTTCGGGAAAAGGTATTTATCCTACCACTGATAGTGACATCTAATTGGACTAGTTGACCATACTCTCACTAATCTGCTATCAATTACATTGTATACCTCGGTCACTCACTCATTTCATGGCACTTAAAGAAACAAACCATCATTTTTCGGAGCTCTTTGAAAGTTGAGTATAGAGTCTTAACTTCTACAACATGTGAAATCCAGCAGCTACATTCTCTTATGGTTGATCTAAAGATATATCATCTCAAACTGACTTTTTTATACTATGCAAACGATCTATCATCTAGATTGCGTCTAATCGAGTTTTCCACTAAATGACCAAACAAATTGAAATAGATTATCACATTTTTCGGTGAAAAGGTTAACCAAGGTTTCACCAAACTCCTTCCCATCAACATTAATATTCAAGAAGTTGATATCATAACTAAATTATGTCTCCCTATATTCAACTCTCTTTGCTCCAAGCTGGTCATGTTAAATATGCATTCCCAACTTGAGGAAGGCTCTCAACATAATAAAAAAAAAAAAAATCAAGTAGTCACTCAACAAACACATCAAATGTCAGTCAACTCGATCTATTAGACTTTAGCCAATTCAAATACTCAAAAAACACATTGGACTTTAACTAACACGGTCAATAAATAGCTCGATTACTAAACTTAGTCATAAGTGCACATAGTCATACCCGTTCTCTTTCTCATATCTTATATATATATATATATATATATATATAATGGTTCATTGACTTGTATATATACGCACAATTCTTTCCATTAAGTAAGAACATTCTCTTGTTTCGTCTCTCTCATACTTCATTTCTTATTTTCTTCTTCTTCTCTCTATTTTTGCCATTAAAAAGTCTCCTTTAGACAAAAAATTTCTATCTAGAAATAATATGGTTATTCCTACCTTATTTATCGATTCTAGCCATTGTATTCTTTAAGACTAAGAGTAATTGACTTCATATCTATAATAATAATATTAGTATCTATTTAAGTTCATGTTTTATGACTATAATAAGATTAGAATTCTATATCCGAAATATTACTCATTTTAAAATTATAATTAGTCATAATTTTATCCTTAAAAAATATATTTGTAAAATATATATATATATATATATATATATAAATTATCTAAAAATAACGTGAATAATCCCATCACCACCACACCACCCTCCATATCCTTCTTAGGGATTAATTAAAGTTATACAAGATTATATAGAGCTCCGAAAGTACCATCACAACAACAACCATCGCTATCTTTTCATTGTATGATATGCCAACTACTATTACACTCAATATTTTTGCTTGACCAATATATGTGTGTTCATCGTTAAGGGTCTTCGTACCTCTTCATACTCGACCCTGCATCATCATTGAATTTCTACTTCACAAGCACAAAAGGAATAAAAAGTTGCAAAGTACAACCACCAAAAAAGTAGGGGGGAGTTTAAATTATGAAATATAAACTGTGAATGAAAGAACTTATAATTATCAAACTAGAAGCCAACCTCAAAGGTTTCAAAAACTTGGAACCTTGATTTGCCGACATATCAGATTCAAGTGACCACTCGGATCTGAAATTAGGGTTTGATCCATATAGAGATTGCACCCCCTTTATGTCATCGATGTTCAAATTAGCCCTCTTGTCTCTTGGCCTCAAACTTGGATACATAACAGCCTCTTTCACCGAACTATGAGACAACCCTAACAAGTGTCCAATCTCATGTGTGGCCACCGACTCCAAGTCCACCGCCGCCTCCGATGCGGTGGCCTGGAAGTCCACCGCCCACGTCTCGGCTGCGTCAAGGTGGAGACGGCCGATCTCCGGCGAGAAGGAGTGGGCCAACACCCCAAGCACCCCATCAAAAGGCTCACCATCACCATGCTCCCCATTGTAAAACCCTATTTTCAACTCCGCAACTTCAAAGTCACCCACCTCAACAAAGCTAACTGGAATAACCGAAGCCCATCTTAAGAATGCACGTTGAAATGCCTCTCTTATCTCCTTCATGCTCAAACTATGGATCATGTTCTCACGTGAGAAGGCATAGGTGAGTGTCATTGGCATTGGACGTGACCAACGTGGTTTTCCGGGGAAAAACACGAAATTCTTTGAAGAATGTACGTTGTGGACGTGGTTGTGGTGGTGATTGTGATCGTGGGGTGTTGTGTTTGTGTCTGGATCACCACATCTTGGTGTGGTCATTTGAGAAACCGTGTTAGTGTCGAGCTTCCCAGTTACTTGGAGACCAAGGTTTCCTTGATATCTAACGAGAGCCGATTCCAACACGACATCAAATTCGTCGCTAAAAATGCTGCTGTTGTTGTTTTGTAGGTACCCAAAACGATGTAGATATCGTTTAAATTGCGATATACCTGCGATTTTAGTCCCTTTCTGAGCATTGCTGAGGCTTTGAATGTGGTGGCTTGTGATGGATATTTTGGTGGCTGGTGGTGTGAAGGTTGCAACGTGTGAAGGTAATGATGTGAGGATGAGAGTGAAGAAGAACGTGAAGGAGTATGTGAGTGAAAGGAACATGGTGGTCGCTTAAGAGGTTGTGGATTTGGAGGCATATATAGATGGAAGCTTTGATGCAAAGTAATGCATATAAAGTCAACTTTATCAAACAAGGATTAATCAACTAATCATTACGACCATTTTGGAACATTGATTTGCCTATGATTCATACATAGTCATGGTGCAAGGATAAGACTAATCTGCAATATGCTAAATAATAGCCAGAATCTCCATATTCATCCTCATTATTTAAATATTTAGTTGATAACTTTTGCATCATTTTATCACCATTGAAGGTATCGACACTTAACTACATTAAAAAAAAAATGCATTACCTAAGAATTTTTATTATTTGAAAAACACATTTATTACACTTGTTAATCAGATAACCTAAATTAGTATATCAAGTATTTTAAGATATACCCGACATTTATTTAAGATCTTTTGATATGCATTTATAGGTGCTTCACATTAATTGATACATGTCATAGATAAAGGCCAATTTAATGCTGAAATTGTAGACATTGCTCTATGTATGCACTTCTTGTTTTCATAATGGCATTATGCAGCTACTTATTATGATATTTTCTCATGTCCATCAAACAACAATTAAACCAAGATCTAGGTAAATAGACCTCACTGATAAACTTGTGTCACCTTCCAAAATAGCTTTATGTGTTATGAAGTAACTTAAAAAACAAAGCAAATTCAGTTGAAAGGATCAAAGGAACTGAGAAGTTGTCAAATCTTGCAGGTAACTGTGTCAAGATAAAGTGGCGAAGTCAGGTCTAACAGACACACATGTTTTCTCTTGAAGAAGGGGAAAAACTCAATGTTGTATACAAGTTAGTTACGCTCCATCATTGTTGGTTGTTGTCCTTGTCTTTCTCTCACATCTTTCAAACGTATTGTTTACTCAAAGTCACATACAAAATGAATATAATATAAAAAAGGGTGATGCTACAAACTATCTTTTATGGCTTTGAACGTGAAGAACAATCAAAGTTGATTAATTAGGAGTTGGAAAATTGATTTTCATTAAATTGTCTTCTCAAGACGTTAGAGTGCTGATATAATTATACCACAACAGTTGCTTGCAAAATACATGTTTTGTTATTCTCTCTTGGTTTTTTGAGGGGCAAAAATGAAAGAAACTAATCTATGGAATTGACAAGTTGACAAACGAATTGACATGTCACTTGTCGAGGGTAAATTCTAAATTTCGATTTAACTAATATTTGAATGTCAACAAAAAAAAAAATAAACAAAGTAAATTCAATTAATTAGGTTTTATTATTATCTTATCATTTTCACTTATTTAATTGTGCAAAGGTTCGTACCCATCACATATAAAAAAGAGACATAAAAGATACAATGGGTACTCACTCCAACACCATTGCTAGTTTTTTTTTTTATCGCTATTGCTCGTTTCATTTATGTTTAATTGGAAAAAAAAATACACGATTCTAAATAATTTAGTTTCATTTTTTTCAAATTATACGATTTAAGAAATTTCAAAACTAGAAAAAAGAAACTGAAGTTAAAATTTTTAAATCAGCAAGAAATTTTCTTTTTGATAAAAAAAAAATCCCATGTAAATTAAATAAACCAGCGAATTAAAAAATCGTACTACGTACAAAAAAGTTTTTAAGGCTTTCTTGTTTTTGGTTATTGCCTATTTTTTGTCCTTTCTCTTGCAGGGCCTCACTCATACGTAGTAAATGTTCATTTGTTCCAGCACCCCACACTTTCTTCCTACACCCCATATTCATCTAAAATGATAATATTGTTTCTAATGTAACTAGGTTTTGGAAAGTTCATTCTCAAAATATTTTGAATTAATCTTTCCATAAGCTTTTCAGAAACATTATGGAATTAGCTTTCCAGAAATATTCAAGAAAACTGATTCCAAAATGTTTACAAAAATTTTCCGAAAATGTCTATTCAGAGAGTTTCTGGAAAATTGATTCTTAAAAATACAATCAATAAATAAGTTTTGGATTATATCTTTTGCAATATATTTTTGGGAAACACAGTGTAGAATACATTTCTAAAAAATACAATCCAAGTTTTAGATTGTTAAATTTAAAATATATTTCCAAAAAATACAACCAGAAAATGAATTTTTGATTATTAAATCTAAAATATATTTGTAAAAATTATAATTTAGAAACGAGTTTTAAATTAACTTATCTCAAAGTCATTTTTGGATTTTGTTTTTTTAAATATATTCTGGATTCAATAATCCAGACTGCCACAAATAAATGAAATGGGTCTTTTTATAGCATTTTTCGGATACGCAGCATGTTAAACTATTTAAAACATAAATTACTTACAAATTTTCAAAATTGGAATGAAAACTATGCTTAAACAAAGATCTAAGGAGTACAACAAATAAAGGTGCAGGTTAGTATGGAGGTGCAGGACAAAAAAGGAAAACCGATCTCAAGAATATTTTTAACATTTTACGTGAGTGCTGAAGAAATTAATGGGGTGCATATAGAAGCAGCCAGTATATAGGCTTTGGTTGATCCAATGTAAAAGCCCATCTTAACAATTTCAAAATTCTCAACTTACCAAAATTCAGGGATAGTTCTCATGCTCCTGAGCAGTGTATAATAATAATAATACATTAAAAAAATGTTATTGCAAAACGATAATTAGAAGATATTTTGTTTGCTTGAGTTTGTTAAAAGTTGTTGGTAAAATAATTAATTTTGTTTGTTTGAAAAGATAATTTTTACATAAAAAATAATACGTATGGAGCTTACACAAAAAAAAATCATAAATAAAATATTTTAAATGCATAGAATATTTTAATAAAAAATATTAAATTTAAATTGATGTCCCAAACATTTAGCTTACTTTAAGAACATTTTTTTTAATATAAAAGCAATTTAAATTGACAATCATATTCTAAAATAGATTGATTTTAAATCAATTTATTATCATATGGGAAGATTTTTTTTAAAAAAGATAAATGTGAATAGAAATGTTTCTGGCACATAAACTTCATCTAAAAGACTAGACATAAAGATGAATAGAAGTGACAAAAAGAAAAACAAATGAATGTGTGTAACTTTCTTTTTTGTGGATGTTTGATGGTGTAAATAATTGAAATGGATTGAGTAGTTTGATAAACAGTTTCAAAGAATTGAAAAAGGACATTGTTAGGGTTAGGTTGATGGAAGATTTCACAGGTCTACTTTTTACATAGGAAAAATGTGGTTGGATTCATAATTGATGTCCTACACAATCGAGAGAGTGATAGAGAAAATGTGATACAACCCAATCTGAGGACCATATTAAAAACATGCTTTGAGGTCATACCCCACAACCTAGAAAGTAAGGACCAAATAGACCAACTCTTCTCCACTTGATTTTAGATGTTTAGGTATTATGTACAATTATTTGAGGTTTTGTGTTTTTTTTTCTACTTACATTACACATTTATTTAATATTCTTACATGGCGGATCTTTTTAGAGACAAGTGAATTATGATTTCTTCATAGTTTATAACTTACATTAACATAAATATATATATATATATATATATATATATATATGATTAATTTTTTTTAATTATGAAGAGATAACTTTATGCAGAAATGAAGATATTGAATCGACGTGTCTGATGTCTTATGCAGACGGAGACTAACCCTAATTTGGTAGGAGTGGGAGATTAGGAGTATATACGGTGGGCATGAAATAGTAAAAGAAGAAGTGGGATTGATGGAGATGTAGATCTTGAAATATATAATTGAAGGGAGAAGAATGAAAGGTGGGTTGGGACAAAATTGATGAGGTGTGGTGAAGATGTGTCAGAGGGAGAGGACCAATTTCTTCACACCCTCAATTCCTTCATAAATTTAGCTAGACAAGGAGAACTCTCCCCTCCCAAAGGACCCTCACCCTCTTTCCTCATCTAACTTTTCATGCTTTCTCTCTCTTCTCCTGTCTTTTATTCCCTCCACTTTTCTCTTTTTATTTTCTTCTCTCACCATTTCTTTCCTGTGAAAGCTTTTACAGTTTTTTATGGAAGAGACCATCTGTTCAAGTTTTTTTTTTTTTTTTTCAATTTTGAAAAAGGTAACTCTTTTATATAACATAACAACAATACCATTCTAGGAATCATGCTTAAATGCCAGTGTATAACATAAACCACATCAAAATTGGAAACTCAAAAATATAACTACTCATAGTGACTTTGTGTGCTTCATGCACAATCATGTTTTAAGAAACGTAAACTCAAGCATGCATGATGTCGTATAACATCATAACAGTACATCCTATTCCTCTCTACTTGTCAGTGAAATCTTATTTAGTTTTACAAAATTTATTTTAAATGATAATTCTATTTACCTTTTATAACATTATCGCATAACTACCTTTGTATTTAAGAGACTTTTTTTTTTCACCTGGATTTTTACATCCAAATCCATATGGTGGAGGAAGATCTCTGCAATGATCATAGGTGTGACAAAAAGATATTAAAAATTACGTGTGATTTTAAGTCTCGGAAGAATGAAAACATTGACCCATCTATTAAAAAAAATATGATTCATAACCTAATTTCGAAAATGATATAATTTTTATTAGAGGCACATTTCTGGCGATAAATCTCGCTTGAAGAGCCATTGGATCAGGGTCATGTAGATAGGATTATGGGTGCACCTCTGTAAGTGAAAAAATCTTCAATTTATTAGAGGCACAGACCTTATTCATGGGGACCCTATCCTAATGTAATTAAAAACATTATGAGATATAATTAAATTTTATAATCTCCCAGCAGTGAGGTCCAGGGTCTGCCTGGTTCAAAATTTGAAATGAAAATGGTCCCCTTCAACAGTCATAAAGTGGAGGCACAGAATTGTGAGACAGAGAATGGTCCCCATTATTTTAATATTAAACATTAAATATTAATATAAAAATAATATTATTAAAAAAATAGTGTGTTCTGTTCTGAATTCCTCTCCTTTATCATCATTCTGCAAATCTGTGTGTCTCATTAAAAGAAACCAAAACCACCCTTGTCTCTCAATTTTCCGACTTGTTCCAGTACGGGGAGTACCACTTTAAACCCCCTGTGGACTCCAGTACACGTGTCAGAAACCCACCCCAGTAATACCACTCCTACTACAAGTAGTAACATTATCCGCTACTTTACTTCATTTTTCACCTCTCATCTCATCAAAAGCTGATACACCCATGTGATCGCAGCATGTGCTTCTGAAAACTCCTCAACTTCACATTCATACATTCCATTCAATTATTCTTTATTTAATACTATTTATGTAATATATCTTAACTTGTCAATTGATATTCTGGTGTTTAAAGCACCCATTTCATCATTAATATGATACTGAAAAATCGAATATTGTGGTTTTTATCAATCTACATTCTCTATTTCCAAAAATTATAATAATGATTTTCAGGCATTTTCTAACTTAAAAGACACTTTTTTTATCAGCAAAAACTACATACATTATTAAGCATTAATACAATGGAGATACATGAAGTGTAAGAAAAACCAAGTGAATGAAATTTTCTTGAGGTGAAGCAAGTGGCTGGTTTATCGAGTTACAGGTACAAGTTAAGAATCCGCAGAAAAAAAGTGTGATATTTCTGATAAAGTAAAAAGGTATATCAGTAGTTTATAGCTACCTGCATACCTAGACCATTGGCATTATCATCTTCATGTCCCACACTCAGATACATCTTCATTTCTTCCACAGATCAAATTTGACAGAAAATATAATAGAGAATGAAATATATAGATGGAAAATATATATATATATATATATATATATATATATATATATATATATATATTAATCTATAAGTAAATGTAGACTTTATCATTGAACTAGATATATACTGTACATACTTTAAATGTTTTGTTCGAAATGGAAGATAAAAGGGTGTAAACTAAAACATTTTATCTACAATGGTGCACAGTAATATGAAGGAATGGTCACAGTCATGGATCTGAGTGGATCCTTGCTCCATTTATGTGGAGTTATCTTCAGGTAGACCCCACTAACAACACGTGTGTGGCCTATATATTCTTCTAATTTAAGACTGCATCAAACCTTACAGCCTGTGAACATAAAATAATACTATAAGAAAAAAGCTTACAGCATGTGCATTAATGGAGAATGGATGGACCGATCCCTCTCAAGATTTCAGCACAAATATACTCTTGAAATAATAATTTATTAACTGATAATTAAGTACAATTACTTCCATCATTAAAAAACAACAACTAATTTCAATGAGAGTAATTAAACCACACCTCATTTTCGGTGTGTATTAAGGTAAGAAAAAGATTTAGGAAGGGTTTAATAATGAAAGAGGAAAATAATTTAATTTAATAAGAATGAATATATTTATTAAGTTAAAAAATCATTAATCTAAAATTTTAATTATTCAATCTTTATTTTATAAAAAATATTATTTTTAAAATTATAAAATACCTAATTTTATTTTGAGATTTTGAACATTTCTTTCAGCTTTTTTGAAATCGAGTATGTTCCAAAAAAAAGTTAGTAGATAATAAATCATTTTCAACCCATTAAAATCTTGAATAAAGTGTAGAGATCTTATTAAAAACTTTTTTTTAAACTACACTTAAGAAAGTAGATTTTAAATAAGAAAAGCTAGTTGAGAAATTTATAATACTATATGATGATGTGACTTTATTACAAATATTTTTAACTAAATTATTGGAATAAAATTGTTAAAATATATTAGTTTATATAATTTTATATCATAAAGATATAATTATTATGGTATTGTCTTAATTTAGTTTATGGGGTGATATATATATTTATAATACAAGTAATTATAGTATTTAAACAGGTTTTGTAAATATCTAAATTATATAAATTTATATGATAATCATGACAGTGGTATCATATAATTCAAATTGATGAACTTTATTTGCAACTTTTTCAGATATGCATGCTATTGAGAAGAAATTGATGAATGCATTCTTGATTAGTAAAGTACAAGTACTTCTGTAGAAAAAAGTACAACTACTTATTTTAAATATTGGTTTTTGTATGAAGATTGAATGTACGTAGATACATAGATGTAAATTTAGAAGTATATAACGTAAAATAATTATTTTTGCTTCCTTTAGAAATCACGTAGAATATTTTAAGGTAGGCGCATGAAAGTTTCTAGAAATTAATTTTTCTTTCTTTTGAAAACAAGTTTATATTATATATATATTTAGAAGGTTGTGAAACCAAAATGATGGAAAAATGATGTGAAGAAGCTTTCTAGAAGTGTACATGTCGTTAATATGGGAACATTTTCTATTTTAACTTTTTATATTTAATATTTTTTTATTATTTGGTTATAGTATCAACTAACCTAGAAAAAATTAAAATTGAATTTATTATCTATTTAAATTATAAAATAATGTTGATATATTTATGAAAAATAAATAAATAAGAAATATATACATCATTGTTCCTTGCATTACCTTTCTCTGAACACTCTTTGTTTTGTGAATTGCAGCCTTAACCTTGACCCCATTGGAGCAGAACTCTCACCATACAAATCAAGCAACCTACAAACCATCTCCTTACTCTTTCTTTCCTCTTTTGCCCTAAACAACCAAACACACTCTTTATTCACATCACACATTCCTCTGTTCCTCAACTTTAACTCCTTTTCGACCCATCACTTAAATTCTCTTTACCTTTTTCATTTTCTGCTTCACACAAACTAAAAACATGGACTTTGGAGACACCAACATCTTCACCCTCAACACCCACACCAAAGAGGAAAACAGTAACAACATTCTTTGGTATTCATCATGGCAACAACAACCTACCAATGTTGTTACTACTACTAATTCTACCCACATTAATGCACCCCATCCCACCACCACGCCCGAGGGTTACGACCGCCGACACCACCGCCAAGTGTACGGCGGCGAAAGGTGTCACGTGCATGTGGACCCTCACCTCACGTGCTTGCATCTTGGTAAGCGACATTACTTTGAGGATTCCACCAACGGTGAGGGTAATACTCATAATAATAACGTTGTTACTCTGGGGAACCCACACGTGTGCGGTGGTGATGGTGTTACTATTTCGGGGAACCGACACGTGGGTGATGGTGTTATTACTCTGGGGAACAGACAGGTGTACGGTGGTGGTGGTTCGGGTTATCTTTTGGAGGGTAATGATAAGAGAGCGAGGGGGTATTATGGAGGACCTGCGGTGGTGGGTGGCGGTGACGGCAGCGGGAAAACGGCGGCGTTTGGGTTAGTTCCGAGGTGTCAGGTGGAGGGGTGCCACGTGGCACTGGTGAATGCAAAAGAGTACCACAGGAGGCACAGAGTTTGTGATATGCATTCGAAGGCCCCAAAAGTTGTGGTGTTGGGGGTGGAGCAGAGATTCTGTCAGCAGTGTAGCAGGTCACTTTATCATTATCTTTTCCTTTTTATTTTTTTTATTTTCAGACTAAATTTACAACTAATTCATTCAGTAGTTTTATATTATTTTGAATAAAAATTAGGGTTTTCTTTTCTTTAAACTAATTAAAATGTAAATTAAATAGTTAATAACTTATTCCGAGTAAAAATGTTAACTATGCTAAATAATATACTTTTTTATTTAGTTTTCAATTTTTATTTTTTAACATGTTTAAGAAGTAAATTAGTTTTTTTTGTTATATATTTTATGGACTAAATTGTCATTAGTTTAATCTTTACCGTTTTGTATGATGTTTACAATAGGCCACTGATATTTTTATATCACAAAAAATATAAACATTTTTTTAATAATTCATTTTTAGATTTTTATATTATTATTTATCTATTTTACTTTATTCTCTTTTTATTAATCAAATAAAAAATTAATATTTTAAGATTATTAATAAGATATTTGTAAAAGTGGGTTGTAAAAATATCTTTTCCTTTACAATATACAGGTTTCATGTGGTGTCAGAGTTTGATGAGTCAAAGAGAAGTTGTAGGAGAAGATTAGCTGGGCATAATGAGAGAAGAAGAAAGAGCTCTAACCTTTATGTTACTAGGAGTTCCAGACAAGGTAAACACAGTACATTACATTATATTGCTCAATTAATTAATTCATAATTGTGTTGGAAAACTTATCATTATGTTGATTTGTTTGAATCAAGCGAATACAAACAAACAGAATCGATGATTTTGTGCTAAACACAGTGAAAACTAACATGACCCTAACAAATGAAAATTCACTTTTGTTGATTTGACATGTTAGCTAACTTGACTAATGCATGGTGAACACGCAATGTACCTAAATTGAATGACAAGAACAAAATGTGATAGTTGGAAGGTTGTGGAATGATGATATACAGGGTGTGCTCTCTCTCTTCTGTCATTTGGGAGCAGTGATAATTGGTCATCTCATGCTGATCTCTCCACAAGATGCAGCGCAGCATTGCGTGAACTGATAGCAGAAAACCGTGCTGCCCTAATGACTAGACAACAACAACACTACCAACAACAACAACACCAACTTGTTTATGATAGAGATCACTGCCATGTTATGCCCCACCAAGATGATGCAGTGGATGAAGAACAAGACTTTGAAGAGATGCAACCTGAGTCCAATTATTTTGCACAACACATGTTTCCCCAGACACAATAATAATGCTTCTGTTCTGTTCTGTTCTGATATTTTTGCTGAAGTGACCCTAAATCTGATGCACTTTCCATAGAGTGTAGCCCATCATCTATTTATGGAATTGATGCCTGCATGGGAGGCATTTTTTGCCTCAATTTTCCAATTCTTTTCTTTGCTAAAAATAAGAACTTGTTTCCATGTTAAGGATCTACAGTACTAGCCAGTTGTAGTTGGGGGCAACAAATATAGTAAGGTTGCATTTCCATGCCTAGTTCTGAATTGTGATTTCTCAACTATTTGCACCAGATCTACTTTTGGTGTGTTGGGGTGGGAGATAATTTCTTTAAGTGGTTCCAAACACATCTTCATGCAAACCAATGCATCTTCATGTCCAAACCAGTGTCAAATAATTTGTTTAATGAATATGTTTTCATGTTTTACTTGTGGATTTAAGGTTGAAACAAACATACACTAATAAAATTGATTTAAAATATATAAATTTATAGAATTTGATGATTCATATAATGGTTACTCTTTAGACGATTTAATCAATAAAGAAAATAACTAAAACATAAAACACATGAAAGTTGGCTTTGTAGATTTTTGAAAATATTACATCCTAATTCAAACATTTTATTGTAGAAATCCATAAAATTTACTATAATATTTTTATTTAAATTTGTAAAATAAAATTAAATACAATAAATTTTGAAAACATTGCATCTTGATACAGATGAGGACAAAAATAAACTATGAAAACTCTTTCAAGATGGAAATAAATTAATTAATAAGTTTATGCGTTGACAAAAATAAGCTAAATTAAGTTAATATATGCTGTTAGTTTTGCGTATCTTTTCTTATTCCTATCAAAATTTATATTTTTAAAAATAATCATTTTAACATTCAACTTCTTGATATTAAAGTTTCAATTTCAGGAACAACTAATTTCAAAACTAAGTAATTAGTAATGTTTTTAAACTCTAACACTTAGATATAGTTAGATTTAATAAAATAATTATTTTTATTATATAATAATATAATAAATTCATCGATGATAATATTAATATTTTATAAAAAAATAATTATAATAATAACAGAAGTTATTATAACAATCGTTATAAATATAATAATTAAATTTCAAAATATAAAATATATTAAATAATAAATGAATCATAACATGAAAATAAATATTATTAAAAGTTGATATGATGAGTAACATAAAAAAATATTGTATATTTTGTAAAAATATTTTTTTATCAAAATAGGTTCGATCAAAATAATTTAATTAGGTTTTTTAATTTTTAATTTTATACAAAATCAAATAAAAAATTTATTATTTAAAAATAATCGATCAATTTCAAAATAAATATTTTATTAAACCCATTAAACTAATGTAATCTGATTTTCAAAATAACGATAATTCGACCATATAACCATATTATCACTTATAAACTACACTAAAAAAAAGTTCAAAACAATATCTTATCACATCATATGGTGGATTAGTAATTAACAGAAACTAAGTTTTTTTTTTTAAGAAAAGGGCCTAAGCCCACATATATTAAAATCAAGAGGGAAATTTGCACATGATAAATTACCAAATAAAAATATGGGTCAGCAAAAAAGAAGAATGAGAATTACAATTAACACTACTATAATTAGGACTAGGCAAGATGTTTGAAATTTGAAATTAAATACTCCATATTGTTTTAAATTATCAAAAAAATTTTAAGCTATATTATTAATATAATTATTGTTTCAAATCATATTTTTCTAATTCATAAGTTATAATTCGGTTTAATTTAAAAAGTTTTATTTAAGAACAATACCGTTTCTAAAAGCTAAATTAAAATATAAATTTAATTTATTTTTTAAATCAATTACATTTTTTTAATGTAATTCAGTTTAATTCAATGTCAATTTGGTTCTCAATAAAATAAAAATACCCAATTTGATGCTATAAATTACTGTGTCAATGACTGAGCAAAACTAGCACGTGTATTTTTTAAAATATATTTTATTTTGATGAAATTTTTTTATTAATGTGATGTAAATAATATTATTTCATCCCAATTTTATTACAGAGAGTAATTAAAAGAAAACCAAAGATTAAAGTAAAATAAATAAATGTATATAGTATAAAAACTTGAAGTATATTTTAAGCCAAACTCAAATAATATATTGTCTTGATGAATTTTTGTAGCAATTAAAATAAAAATTGGTAACATAAACATGTGAAAAATATTGTGATGTATAGTGTGCTAAATGATACTTAGCCAACATATTCAAAAGCTTTAGTTTTCCATCTCATTCACATCAATTCAAAAGGTAGTTTACCTAACCATAGCCACAAATAAAAGACATGGATTTAATGGTTTTTAAAAATAATTCAACACCCCAATAAAATTTAATGAATAAACCGAAAATTTTGATTAAAAAAGTTAATCACGTTTCTTAATGTGTGGTGGGTACCTTGAACTCATTGATTATATAAAGGCTTGAGATGACTAATCTCAACTTAGCTATAAGACCTTGATATGACTAATCTTTGAACTTAGCTTCTCATAGTGTGTAGCCCCTAACCACAAAGTTAGGGAGAAATTAAATGCTTCCAAAAAGAAGATACCACTATGGTTCAAAAGTTGTAAATTGATCAATAATAATGAACTCAATTCACAAGAATGAGTGTGTTGATGGCATCATGCATGGGTCCATCTCCAATCATCACACCATGTGAGTGAACCCTTTGTCATTATTAATTGATTAATGAGACAACATGTGAGTTGATAATTTAACCAATAAGGCTTCCTCACATTAATTGATTAATGATTAAGTACCATTTTACGTTATAAAAACACAAAGATGAACTATGATGCTTCATCAATCATATAAATTGTTGTTGATGGAACAAAACTTGTCAAATCCTCCCTACTTCCCAACCACAACTTCTATTTGGGTACGTATGTCATCATCATGTGTTACAACTAAAACAAAAACATCGCTTATGTAAAGTTAAGGTTTTTCTTTCTTTGTTTTACTAAATCACACACTGACAATTATTGTTTTTTTTTTTTAACATAAGATAATGTAATGTTTTTCAAACAAAATTTTAAAAAACAAAATTAGGTGCAGAAGTAGAAAAAATTTGTATAGTTAATGAAACTTCAAAGATGTTTAGTGTTTGTTATTTACTCTACTTTTTTAAATTAATAGTGGAAATTAACAATGTGTAATTTTTATGTCTGTGTCTGTGATTTTGCATTTGGGCTAGAACATGAATATAACTGAAATGTTTAATGAACAAAAGGAATAGCCCAGGATTTTTCAGTAATTTGGGCTGGTAAAAAATTATAGCTTTATATTTTAATTTTTTTGGAATAAAATAGCTCTGATATTGCAGTATAAGATATTGTTAATCTAGCTATTGGTTGGTATTTCAAAGATTTTTAAATAATATTAATATTATAATTTTGATTAATAAATCCATTAAAACTCGTAATTAGGTTAATTTGGTGTATTACTCTGTTTCTAAACTTTCACACAAAATATTAAAATAATTAATTAATGCTTTATGTTAAAGAAAATTATGATAATAGCATGTGTAATTATTGAAAAATCTTGTCCAAATCGTAAAATTCTTGAAAAATGTTTCTAAAATTCCTCAAAAGCATGGACGGATAAACTATTTAAATGTTAAACATGACTTAATTTGATTTATATTTTAAAATCAATTTTATTTTTTAGCTTAAATTGATTTTATATTAGTTAATAAATTAATAGATTAATTTTTATCAAATTAAAAAAAAGTTATTATTTATAAAATAATATTATTATCATCAATGAATATATTAAAATAATATAATTTTTTTATTATTATAATTCATTTATTAATAATTTATTAATCTAAAATAGTTATTTATTAATTTAAATTAATAATTAATAATAATGATTAGATCTTAAAATAATTAATTATCATAATAATTTATAATATATATTAATAAAATAATATTATTTTTATTTAAAAATAATTATTATTCAATTTATAAATTTATGAATTAGTATAAACTACATTAAATATACATATATTATAATTTAAATTGAGAGGATAAAAATAGATATAATTTAATTTAAATCATAATTTTTTAATTGAATTTATTTATAAATATTTTCAGCTCAATTCATTAAATATATTTTTACAACTTAACGATGATTGTCATAACAATGAGATATAATATGCAATATAATATGATAGTATGAATATTTATTTTCTTTGTAAATTAGAAAGTATTAATGTTATGAAAAAAATGATGAGCTATGAACCTTTGTTTATGTACTAACAAGATCTGATATCTTATCACCTTCTATTCATTCGATTTGAGACCTCACATTGCCCAACAAAATTGAAAAAAGACTCTGACAACTCAATAGCTGTTGTGACCCACCATCAAACAAAACAAAAATACCTCTCTTCTTATGCACTCCTTACAACTTTGCAGCTTTTTATGACTTATAATCATTCATTATCTCAATAGTTATGTGTTTAAGTCATCAAATACCAAAAATATAATATAAATTTATCACTAAAGCCATATCCATCCTTAATTTTAATTACTTATCATTATAATAAAATAGGTTTCATTTATATAAATGAGTTCAATTTAATTTTAGTCTTTCTTTTCACTAATTTTTATATCTATAATTAAAAAAAAACATCTCTCTTAAGATAGGTTATATATTTAAATACATTACATTATATTTTATATCTTATAATTACTACTAATTAGATATTTTATATGAGTGACCATTGAGCGGTAACAGAAACTATTCTTACAAAAATCAAAATATTATGAGGATTAAAATTCTATAAAGATTAAATTTGAAAATAAAGTTTATAACAAATTTTACTTATATTTATAAAATAAAAATATATTTAATTTGTTAATGTTATAATGCATTTTATTAAATTACGAGGGAGAGATGAATTTTTTTCTTTTAAAATAATATCATAACACTTCCATAGGTAT